CAGCCAGCCAGCCAGCCAGCCAGCCAGCCAGCCAGCCAGCCAGCAAGCAAGCAAGCAAGCAAGCAAGCAAGCAAGCAAGCAAGCAAGCAAGCAAGCAAGCAAGCAAGCAAGCAAGCAAGCAAGAGAGGGAGAGGGAGACTTCTTGCAAGCCCCTAGCAGAGTAAAGAGAGTAGCTGCAGTGTGGGACATGTAAAAGGGATTCTGGCCGAGAAGCTGGCTTGTAGTGTTTCGGTGTCAGCCGCCCGCGGATTCAAGGTTGAAGCCTAAGCCTTGTAGCTTTTCAGTCCCCGTGCCTCTTCCATGCCGGGTGCATCCAAGGTTTGCTTCGGATCACTTTGCCGTCTTGTGCTCCTTACGGCCAAGTGCGACGAAGAAGACCGTCCCCGAAGATCCGGGCCAGCAGGCTGCAGAGCCAACCGGCAAGACTCTGACAGCCCAAGATCCGCTTTTGTGTAGCTGGCGCTTGCTTTCGGGTTTCCGCTTTTCCTAAGAGCACGTCATCAGAGGCTGTATTCTCGTCCGGGCGCCCATGTCTCAGATCCCCTGTGAGCTCTTGGGCGCTCTGACTCTGCACGACCGGCCGCGATTGGAGGTGTCGGCTTTGCTGTGACGGTTGGGGGTTGAGGCTGCAGCTGGCTAGCAACTCTTGCTACAGCAGAGTTGCTTGGAGTCCATGAGGCAGAGGTGGTGGTTCTTGTTCTTGCCCTGAGTGGGCCTCGTCAGGAGAGCATGGCGAGCCCTCCTCCACACCCACTCGACTCTCTGCGCGGCTTCAGGTCGTCCTCCTTGGCTCTTCAGCGCTGGGCATTGCGGACAAGGTGGATTTGACAATTCACCTTCAGGTCCCCCCTTCGTCCCTACCTGAAGATCCTTTGACAGCTGACCTTACTTCCCTTAGCTGTCGTGGCCCTCTTCTCAAGTTTGCTTGAAGGCCCGTGTAACAACGGCTTTGGTGAGTGAGCCAAGGGCAGCGACATAGATGTACTAGCACCTTGGCTGCTGATGGACGGCATTGGGGCTTGGGCACTTTCGGTCGAAGAAGGACAAGTCTCCTAACCACTACCAGGACCAGGATTGGTGCCCAGTAGTAGGTCGACGTCGCCATCATCAGCGTAGCTTCAGCTACGACAACGACGGCAGCACCAACAATGTTAGCAGTACCAGTGCCAACGTGGAAAGTGGAGGTACCCGGCTTAAGGTAGCCCAAGGTCGAACCGGGTGATGCCCCGCCCGAGGGTCTAAATGCGCCGGCAACAGTAAACAAACCCAAAAGGAAAGCAAGATCCCGGCGTTGTAGCCTTGCCATCATGCAGAAAATGCAGGTAACCATCTAGCTGTATACTCATACAGCGATTAGTCCAGAACAGAATGCAAAACGACAGGTCGTCATACAGCTTGCCTAGGGCAAGTGAAGTGCAGGAGGGGATGATGTGGAGCAGCGCCCTGACATCCCTGGCTCGTCAGGCATGTTCTGCGGAGCTCACCAGTTCCCAGTACTTCGCCATGGCCCGGCAGGAGCTAGAAGGCCGAAGCGCATTCTGACTGTTAGCCTGACGACGATCACAAGTGTGGGTGGGGGAGGAATCACCCGCCAGAGGGCTCGTTAGTACAGTAGTATTCGTGAAGCCAGAGAGGCAGGAAAGCAAAATCTTAAAGCGGGGGGGGGGGGGGGGGGGCGATTCGGAGAACCGGTTGAAGGATTCAGTAAACGGAGGGGCTAGGGTTTAGGGCCGAGGTTTTAGGGACAGCGTGAGATGGGCGATGAGTGTTGTGGTGATACTCAGGCAATTGCACAAGTCCTTTTGCAACAAGGGCCGAGGGTTGAACAGTTCCTCATGCAAAAAGGGCTGAATAGTTTAGGGTCTTGTCGCAGTTTGCTGAAATAGATCTCTCAGTTTGTCTAAACTTGGTCCTCGGAGGCTTGGAGGTTCAGGACCTGGAGTTGGCAGAAGATGCGGTGGTGCCACTGCTGAAGTTCCGAGTGCCGTGGCAGCTGGGGCGGCCGGGGTTTATGGTTCACCCAGGGTTCACCTCCCAGTCTGTATGGCACTGCAGGGGTTCAGCATGCCGGCCTGAGCATTGAGGGTTTTCGAAGAAGTCCAGCCCTCTAGCCTTGAACCATTAGGGCGGAAGTCGCAACTAAGGCCGAAGGCAAGGAGTTCGAGGTGCAGTTCTCAGAGCTGCGGGACGAGCACCTGCCGCTGCTTCGCAGCAGCCACGCCGGGGGCTGCGAACATGGCTACGAGTGCCTTGAGCTGAGCTTTCGGTGTTAAATTCGGGAATTGTAGCCAGCGGATAGGTTTATGACAGAGAGACGTTACCTACACTGCTACTAGTGCTGACTCAGGGCTGACTTCCCTCCAAACTCCTGGGTTCCGAGCGCTATACTGCTTTCAACCTCAGGACTTTGCAGTCGCTGCTTTTCCAGCATGGCTCTGTGCCACAGGCGCAAACAGAACAAGCTGGCGTTGGGCGTGCGTTTGGAGTTTGCGGGCGCTCAAGAATATCTAGCAAAAAGGTTTGAGGGTTTACTGCGATTTTCAGGGCGACATTGGGCTCAAGCAGAAGGCATTCCAGGCTGTTCCCAATGCTGTGCATCGAAACTTTCATCAAGCGATCATGACCCATCATGGTAACTACTGTTATGTATGTGATGGTAAGTGTTTTGGTGTGGGAAGGAACCATAAGTTGGCTACCATAATTGCCCTTGCTTTCATCCTTGCGAAAACTGTGGACGTTGTTGCCTTGTTTCTTCGGACTGTTACCATGCTGACATTTCTTCTGTCTCGTATGCCTGCTGCTGGAGCTTCCCCGGCCGCGACTTTCAATGTGGTTGCTCCATGGTGGTCGCTGCTCTGGTTCCGAGTTCCTCATGGTGACAGTGAGTAGTATAGTTACCGGCATGATGGAGGTGATGACTTGCATTTCCGCTTTGGAAGCTCTGTGGAGATCCTCATGCCCCTGCAAGTCATGTAGGCCGCTCTTTAGAATTACCGAGTTCCACATCCGTTGCGTTGCCGACCACCGCAAACATAGCCACAACGAATGTTGTGACATTCGGTTGCTGAATCCGTGGCGATAAATGCGGTTACCATGCCATTCCGAGTTGTGAGAATCGAGATCCACGAGGTGGGACTTTCCGCGGCGCTGGACGCCTGGATCCTCCTCCGGGCGGCCTTTGCTGCCGGGCGGGAGGAGAAGAATGGACATCCAAAATCTGGACCCACGGAGCATGAAAACATTCGAACCTTCGTCCTGCTCTTTGCAAGGAGGCCGTGGAGGCTTTCCGGACCTTGGCCAAGGAGGTAAAGCTCTGGGCGAGGCTGAAACGAAGTTGCATGTGGGCCCTTTGTTGCTAACTGAGGCTCTTAGGGCCTTGATGTTGTGGCGCATCAGGGTCCAATCTGCATTCAACTACGAAACCAGCGAACTACAGACCTCAGGCAACCTGGAAGCCTAATACCTGCATCGATATATATATATATATATAATGCAGTCATAGAAATGACCAGACTTGCTGGTCTGAGCGGGTGAATCCAGCAGAAGTAGCAGTTCAGCAGAAGTAAAGTCAGTAGAATCATGCAGCCGTCGTTGTAGTGGTGTCAGGGGCGGCAGTGTTGTGCTGGTCGTCGTCGCTGTTGTCTGCATTTGTGGTCATTAGTCATTGCTGTTGATGTTGAGCCGTGTTGGGTGTTTTGCTGATCTTGTGCCTGCTCTGCGAGGCAGCGGCAACTGCTGGGCACGGCCTTTGGATTCCCTGGCGGCTTCGCTTGGGCTCTGCTGGTGGTGATGGAGGTGGTATGCTCGAGTGTTGGGTTTTGAAGCATGAGATGGAAGCGAGTTTGGACAGCATCCGGCAGAGAGAACATATTTTGCATCACCTGCACACTAGCGGGCGGCTCGGAGCTTCAATTTCACAGTGAGTTGGATGCCTGGACTCGCAAAACCATTCTGGAGCCTTTTGCCGGCAGCCATTTCGACATTGGGTACTTGCCCGGACAGCCCTGCACAAGCTTCCCCTCGGCCCTTTGCGAAGAGACTCGGCGGCCTTTGATCATGTCATTCTTCCAGTTGCCCGGACCCAGTGTAGAAAGGGAAAAAGCACACCCAGAGAACCATGCTGCCATGAGTGTCCGTCGCAACGGGCAAATTGAATGTTGTTCCCATGTATGAACCTAATGCAAGAAGTACCTTTGTCCCACACCGGAGGGACAGGACATTTCCCATTGCCACAAACACACCTCCAGTGGTCCGCAAGAGGCGGCGGACTCTCAACTTCTTGCCGCCACAAAACCCACCGGAAATCCGATGCCCCTGTGGTGTCTCCTTGACCGGACCTGCACGCCCTGGAGAGAGAACAGAGAGCTTTAACGCCCGAAAGGGGGACCCGAAGGCCTGGCCTCAAAATCCCGTACGTCCGGGAGAAGAGGAAGAGGGCGAGTGGCGAAACGCTTGGCTGGCCACTCTAAGTGAGACGGATCAGTGCGGAGCACGAGGGGGAGAAGGGTGCCGGTCTAGACATACCCATATAGCTCGCTTTCCGCTTTTGCATCTGGTGCACTGCTCGATTTAAGGATATGGCAGATGATCAGCAGTCCGCGCAGCTCGGCTTGTCGAAAGCAGGGATGTCCGCTAGCAGTTCTGATTCTGCAAACCGCTAGCAACAATCTGGAATCTGCGGCAAGTCATGAACATTGCAGGGTTTCTTGGGGCAGTTCGAGCACTTCGGGGCAACAAAGTGCCAGCCTGACCAGCTTCTGGATGTTGAACATCCGTTTACGGAAATTCACGGCTGCTCCATAGCGAAGACACCACCAGTGATTTCTCTGCGGCCGTTGAAAAGTAATGCAATTTGCCCTGGCAGGGGAGAGCTTCGCAGACGTTACCAAGCAGGAGGTGGGACTAGGGCAAAGCTTCGCAAGGTATGTTTGATAGAGTCGGAACGCCATAAGAAGAGACATCTTTGACTTCCCATCATTGAAAGGCATTTGTGGAGGGTAACGAGTACCGTCAGGTACAGACAAGGACGACCAGCTTTCCGCCTCACAGCTCCGGGCCCGCCACGGCGTGCAGGGCGGGACCCCGGGTGGGGGTGGCGATGGGCTGATGCCTGGTGTGAAAAGCGTTGAGTGTCAAGCCCTTCAGCTTTGCTTAGGCCTGGACTTTGTGAGGAGCATGACGGGGATGCTGTGACAAATCCTACTGAGAGAGCTTTAGAGGTAACTGCCGATTATGGGATTATGGCTGCACAGGAAACTAGTTGACATCTACGGCAGCAGTCTCTCGGTTCCTCTTTTTGCGTAGGCCCTCGGGTTCTTGTTTCGGATCCTGTCTGCATGGGCATCAGCAGCGCGATGCTAGTTTTAAGTTTTGGACAGTGCTCCACATGGTCAACGGAGCAAACGCCATAGCTTGCCTGAGAGCCCGCTTGCCTAAGGAACCCAGCGATCATCATCGGCGCGATTGTGGTCGTCGTTGTGATTGTTGTGGTTGGAATGAAGATGTCGGGCAATTCCTAGGTACTCCAGCTGCACTAGAGGGCAGACTCCTCGAAGGGAACTGGATTCAGCAGCCGCCACATGTATCTTTGTGTCATCAAGGCGAAGTCTGCGTGCACTCTGAGTGCTCTGAGAGCTATGATCCCAATCGTTTCCAGCGGGTCACAAGCGGCCTTGCTGACATCCTGCGGCTGTCACAGAGGATCAAGATAGTGGGCCTTGAGAGTCTACACAGGTCTCAGAGGGGGTTTGCCGATGCCATGTCAGGCTTCAACTCAGGTAGCCAAGGTATGAATTTAGCAATGACTGATCATTACGTGATGAAGGGGTGTTTCTTCGGACCCGCTTCCTGTTCAATCTGGACAGGTCCAATGTTCCGGGAAGCATCTCGGTAGGGGAAGTCCATCAACAGTTGTAGCGGCTGCAGGCATGTGGAAGATAAGAAGTCACAGTCTGCACAGGCCCCAGAACAACCATTTATCATTGTGTATTGCTGTGATTGCAGCCGCTCCGTGGACGACATGATTCCTCCCTGTGGCATTCGTGCAGCATCGCAGGATGCAAAGCACCAAATTCGAGAGATGGCAAACGATGAAGAAAGAGGCTTCACCACTAGAACTGCAGCGGTAGCTGATAGCTGAGGCGCGCGATAGTCCACCCCAGAGTAAAGATAGACTCGTGCACGTATCAAGACCGTGGCTGATAGTGCTGGAACATCAGGCAGTCGGGAGACATACCTTGCAAAGATGCCCGCAGCTGAGAACCTCCTTTAGACCTACCCCCCCTACACAGCAGCTTTGATCTAATCACCCGGCCAGCATCTTCGACTGACATCTACCTCAGATGCCCGGCAGGGGCATGCAGAGACCATCAGTACCAGAGGAACAAATGAGCCTTAATAGGATCAACCTTGCTGTCAGGTGGTGCGGTGGTTTTCCGAGCCGGAAGACGGGAGGCAGCTGCTTGGTGGCATGCTAGCAACAGATATTTCTCGGCTGATGCCGGCCCAGATTGGTGAGTGAAAGGACCCGGCACCCCAGTCGTGCTCCGTTTCGAGACTGCAACGTTCCGAAATGACTGTGACCCGAAGTTGTCTCCAAAGTCTCCGAGGTCCGACTTGGCGACGCGCTTTTACCAGCGGCTGAGCCTTTGGGAGTGGCCGGCGGAGGGAGCACACCTGCAGCAAAAGGCGCGGTGCGCTATCTCTGCTGCCTTCGGGTTTAGTGGTTCCTCTGCTTTTACTTTACCGTCTGTGGCATCAGTGACCGTCGCAACGGAGCGAGAGGCACGCTGCACGTTGATGCACCACTGTTGGGCGCAACAGGGCTCGGGCCCCAACAGCACTACCACTCGCAGGATCTCTACAGGAGACCCCCAGCGATGCAGCGTACTGGCGGCACCCAAGTAATTAACACAAGAACTGGCACTGTCTCACTTAGCGATTTCGGTGACTTTGTCAACCAACGCCCGCAACTCACGAGACATGCCGCTTGCAGGTGCTTGACGCTTCTTCTCAACAGCTCCCGTCGCAAGAACTCCTGCTCACACAGCCTCGAGCAGACCATGATGAGCAGGGCTTGTCGCCGAAAACAACTTGAACTCACCTTTGTTGAACGCTTTCGTCAACTTGGCGATGTACACAATGTCCGCAGTCATGTCTGGCGATGTCATGGCCGCACGTTGAGAATCAATCACCGCCTTCGATGTACCATCCAACGTCTCCTGCTGTTTAGTGGTTCCATGTTTGTGGATCGCTGAGACCCAGCACACTTTCCCACATTGGCTGACCTGCTGTGGCTTCCTCCTTTTGGAGGTGCTATCGCCGGCCGCCCAAGCACAGGCGAAAGTGCGGAGATGGTTCGAGTTCGAGGGTTGTGGGGCGTGGCTTCTGCAATCGTCAGGTCTCACGGTCTTCTGGGCTGAAACGCTTCGTGATTGAGTTTCGGGGTTTTGTGAGGACCTGGGGCAACGGGACTCTTGACTGTCGTTGTTTGTTTGCAGTCGTGCACTCCTTAAAGGGTTGGTTTCTTGAGAACAAATCATTCATCTTTTGGATTAGGCTTGGCCCAGGATTCTTCAGCATGTGTGCGTGCCACCCAACCCTACTAGGGCTTGGGTTGTTGTGAACAGTCACTCCATCTGGCTTCGCCGCAACCACTCCTGCGGGTTTCGGCTTGCAGAGTTGGTTTCTAAATTGGTCCTCCTCCTCCTCCTTGTTCTGGGACTTGTTTTTGAACATGTTCGGAACACCAGCTGATCCGAATAGTGGCATCTATCTGTTTCAACCCGTGGCGGATCTGGTTGGAAGCTCCACGAATCTGGTTGTCGGATCCTGCTTGTGCAGCAGCCCACGAACACGTGAGCCGTGACGATGGTCTACCGGGTGCTTGCAACAGAGAGCGACACCCGGAAGTAGGTCTAGCTCGAGGCAGCACTGAGACAGACCAGAATGAGTAGCTCAACTGTGGTAGGGTTCCTTACGTGCGAACGTGCAGGTAATTAACCTCTAGACCACAAGGTGGTTGCCGAAGCATTGTCATAGAGCCTCTCAGCCTTATCTAAAGATACCCCTGAGGTCGGCTCTAAAGCGTTGTTTCGCAAGTCTCGACGTTTCCGGTTGTCGGAGGCATGGTCTCAGGGGCTTTACTCTGTATGTTTATCGCTCCTCGTGTCTGTATATGTTGGTGCTTGATTCACCTGGAGTTTACTTGGGCGAGGGTCGGCGTGTTGAAGCTTGATAGTCCCAGTAGCAGATTGGTGCGTGTGTTGGTGTGTATATAATGTATATATTGCATGTTTGTTTCCCGGTCCAGAGGCACCGTGCAGAGAGCCGCCAAGTGATAACGCGACCTCTTGCTGTTTACGGTTTCCATACACATCCCTGCTGCAGGAGCTGCCGGTGCTTTGGTGCCCTGCGGGCCCCAAGGCTCTGCACAGCCAATCCCATTAAGAGTTATTACAGTAAGGTCGTACATCAGTGGAATTCCTCCAAGCGAAGCACAAGTACCAATGAGATGCAAGACGTTCGCTGTCAATAACATGTTGCGACAAGTCGGACTAAAAGATTCAGGGTCATGCAACATGGGGATCCCACCGCAGCCAAAGCCCCGAGCTCGAAGAGCGAATTGAAGCTTTCACTAGCCGTGTCTGCAAGCTCACAGTTTCTGCTCCTTACCCCACTTGAAAAGCCATCTTGCGAAAGCGTGGCCTGGATTGTCCTACTTATCACGCCCCACGCGCAAGAGCGCGTGGGGAGGATCGGAACGCCCTTCGCAGCCTGACTCGTGGCACAGCTGGAATCCTTCAGGCGCCGGGCACGTTGCACGGGTCATGTCCAATAGGGCCTTGACATGACCGGATGCCTTCTGTCGCGTGGAAATCTTGTAATTTCAAATCCCAGCTTGAGAACCGCCTCGAGGGACGGCTTGGGGTTCCAAAATGCTGGTCCACAGCCGTTTTTCAGCGCACTCGGTTGCTCGGAACGGGGAGCCACGTGAGCCACGAGAGTTCCCCAAAGATGATTACTGGTCGTTCCGGGTGTTGCAGAGACGAGTGATCCTTCCTTTATGAAGATCATGGCCGATGGTAGATCTGCTTGGGAACTCGCAGGGGAGGGAATGGGCTCAGGCTGTTAGTGAGTTGGCCTTCGAACTCAACTGACCATGCAACTCACGGCTTGCTATTACGGTTTAAGGCTTAGCGGCGGCCGCCCTTCAGAGCGGTTTAGCAGGGGTTGTCCTCGGGTTATGTGTGTCATGGACCTGTGGAAAGCATGACAAACCTGGATCTCAAGCTTCCGACGCAGAGACTGTGGGGGTTCGACTAGAGCCGGAGGCGGCGCCTCAAAACGCTCCAACGTCGAACTCCGTCGGCGATCTGAACTTGGCACCCGAAGCCGCCCAACATCGCAAACCATCGCGGATTGGGGAAGTTTTTGAAGAAACTTGAATTCCATGCTTCGGCCATGCGGCCAGACGACAGAACCGTTCGCAGCCCTCGCCTGGAGAGTTTGAAGAAATTTTGCAGGCTCAGCTCCGGCGAGCAGCCCTGGAGGGAGCTGAGACAGCCGGGAGTGCAGTAGATCTGCCGGAGTGTCCCGGTTTGCGGTCAGGGGCTTGACTTCCGAATTGGCTCAGATTGATGATGAGGCTGAGGGCTTGGAGTGTCGCATGTTATATTAGCATCCTTAGGCCGGCAAATCTCAATCCTTTCATTTTTCCTGTTTCAAGGTCGCAGTGCAGGCGTGCCCTCTCAGACGCCCCTCCACACACAAGGCAACAGGCAGCAAGCAGCTGCTTTGCCCAATCACAAGACGGGGAGTTTGCAACAGGACGCCTGAAAACGTGTGCGGGCTCAAATCAGAAACCCTGGGCTAGACGCAACTCAAAATTCATGCAGTGTCAGCCGCGAGAGTGACATGCAGCCAAGGTTCTTGATTCTCAGCCTAGTGGAGGCCGTGCGAACCGTGTCACGAACACGAACATGTCGATCTTTCAAGAAGTTGTGTTACTTGTTGTTTGTAACTCTGGAATCGCGTCTCAGACACATGCGATGCTGTCAGCTTGAGATACCTCTCGTTGCGGAGCTGTTGTAGTTGGAAGCCCCTGGCTGCATTCGCTACCCTCAAAAGTAATGGAGTTCCGAGCAGTCATGGCCACAGGGCGTAGATATTTGTGCGAGTGGCTCTCTCTCTCTCGCGGCAGCATCGACGAAGCGGCGGTGTAGCCAAATTGTCAAGCAAGAGCCGGTCAATCCTGCAAGTCCCGAGTCTTTCTTTTGCAGGCCACCGAGGATGCGCGCTCACGACTCCAGAGGATGTTGTTGCGTATAGATGTGAGCAAAAGAGAAGGTTTCAAGCTGAGAAGTCGAGAAGCCGCCAAGCTGCCTTGTTCGGGAGTCGTCCTGTGTTGGCAGGAAGGCCTTGTCAGTCCTCTTGGAGGCGGAGCGCTGTGCCGGACAAGCGACAGTTTGGCCTTTGACAGATGCCTGGTAGCAGGTGGTGCCTGATGTTTGCCGTGGGTGGCTTTAGTGACAGAGTTTTGCCAACTGGGGTGTCGGGCACGAAACTGGAACGGAAGCCGAAAGGCCTAGGCCTGAGTGCCCTTCGAGTTTCAGGCTTCAAGCTTCAGAATCGCCATTGACGGACGCCGATGTACATGTAGCCTCTGGAAATGGACGTGTGCATGAGCTGCAGCAATTGAGCAGCTCTCTGGAAGTCTTGCTAACACCATTTCGATCGCGCGTATGAATATGCAAATGGGCCTCGCATTCTAAGAGGATTGACATGCTGCCGGTGTTTAGACGGCAGTTCCGCATACCGCATCCCCTTCCCCGCTGTCGCCATTCGACGCCGCCGACGAAACACTAGTTCACAAGAATTGGTTCATTGACCATTTCCCACAAAGCCACAGCATCCAGGCGCAAAGGCGCAAATCTCGCAGCCACTCTTTCTGTGGCACCCTGAACCATGCTCTTGGTCACGTCATGACCATGGACAACTATGAAGGGCTGGGGTCACAGAAACATGGGCGCTCTCTGTTCTCCTATTATCGGTGAGGTAGGTCTGGAATAGGAGGGGCGCATTGCTGCATGAGATCTGCATGCTCTTTCGATGTTCATTAGAGGCGATCGCCGTGGCCATTTTGGGTCGAGGTGATCGCCTCGGATCCGTGAAGGATCTTT